CCTTCCTGGTGGTTGTGGGTTAGGCCTTGGGCCAGGTGGCTGGTTCAAACTCAGCCATGGCTCTGAAGGAACAAGGGGAAGCTGTCTGCTCCCCTTAGAGGGCTCCCGTCTCAGAGAACCTCTGGAGGGTCACTATGGTCGGCCTCCGAGGGGACTTGAGGACAGTGCCTTGGTGTTTGGGATCCTGGATACGCCAGCGGTTGGCAGGGTGGTGTTCAGAGCAGGCTCCGGGCGCAACCACTCTTGCCCAACAGCGTTGAGTCATAACCTTCGTTTCCTGCTGAAGGCAGGGCCCAGGTCTGTCTGGCTCCCTTGGATTTGTGGTCCCTCTTACGCATTTTGGGAGCCTCAGTCCTGGAAGCTGGCTGGCCTGGGGCCGGCTGTCAGTGACTGCCACTGCAGGTCCCCGTGGGAAGGTCCCTCTGGGGTGGGCAGGGTTCTGTATTCACAAGAGCTGGAAGGTTGCCAGGGGGTGGGGGGTGGGGACTCCCTGGGAGGCTCAGAAGCTTGAGGGCATCGCCCACTGCAGCCCCCCTTAGCTGCCAGGTGCAGATCGTCAACTGAGGAGACACTGGAGGGAGATCCCCTAGGAGTCCCCAAAGTCCATTGATGTGGGGGGCAGAGAGCATTGCTGCTGCTCTTGTGGGTCCTGAGAGGGGCCAATCCCACCTTCTCCCATGTACCCAGCCAGCACCCCAAACTGGATCCCAGGGGCCCAAGCGGTCCCCCTTCCTCCTGGGTCTTATTCTAGAGGGTTAAGGCTTGTGGGGCTGCCTGGAGGTGGTAGCAGCCTGGGAGGTGCTGCAGGCCATCTGCTTGGGAAGTGTTTGGAAGGGGACGACAGAAGGACCCAGTGGGCCAAAAGGAAGGAGGGAGGGTGTTTGGGGACAAGACGGGGTGTTGGGTAAAGCGCCTGATGAAGGCAGAGAGCACTTGAGTGGCCAGTCCATGGGGCTGGGACATGGTGTGTGTGTGTGTGTAGCACCAGCCATGGGGCTGGGGCATGGTGTGTGTGTGTGTAGCACCAGCCTACCTCCATCTTGTCAACAGCCCACTCATGTCCCTTGCCTGCCGCTGACCCAGGCTTAGAACTCCTAGAGCTGAGGGACCCACCCAGACTGGAGCTGCCCAGACTGGAGCAGCTGCCTCCCTCCCTGCGCTGCCCAGGCTCTGTCCAGTCCTGACCCCGCCTCCACTGCATTGCTCTCGAATGGCCCGGTGTCCACCTCACAGCCCCTGTGCTCCTACAGTCCCGAGGTCCCATCAATGCACCTGTCATCCCCTGGACTTGCCTACTTGGGTCCATGCCCACCTCACCCTGGGTTGTGTGCTCCTGGGGGCAGGGCTTGGCCAGTGTGTGCCCAGGGCTGGGTGCCCAGTGAGTGACCTACAGGAGGAAAGCGAGCGAGCCCATGGGTCAACTCAGGGCCCTGCTGTCCCTCTTGGACTGGCTTCACTGGGGCGCCCCCACATCCCTCAGCACCTCCCCCCACCCCATCCATATTCCTCTTCAGGAAACCCATGACTTCCTGCCCAGACCCTTAACTCCTACCCTGCCTGCCCACCCCACCCCTGCAAAAAGGAAAGCCTCCCCTTCTCCAAAATCCTTTCCCCGCCCCCACTTTGCTCTGATTCTTCCCCCTGGGAGGTGTCCCTTGTGTAGATGGGCCCCTCAAGGTGGCAGGACACCCCCCATTCCCACTTGCTTTGGGGACAGAGACGTCCCCGACAGCACTGTTCCTACATGACTGGACTGTGCCTTGCTGTCTTGCTTCCATGACTTTGCGTTCATTACTGTGTGACCTCAGTAAAGTGGGCCTCAGTTTCCCCTCGGTGGTTCTGAGGGCAGCTGAGGTTGGGGGCATAGGCAGGTGGGGGGGCGCCTAGGAAGGAGCAGTGATTTTTCTGCCCCTCCCAACTCAGCCTTCTTTCTGCTCTACGGTGGGGTTCATTGTCCTCCAGCAGCCCCCAACCCAGCCCCGCTGCCCTCCTCTGACTTGGCTGGGGGTGGGGGAGGTCTGGCCATGGGTCGGGTGGGGTTGGAGAGGGTGGGCAGGGCAGGAGGAGTGTCTGGGGGGCTCTGAGCAGCCTGAGATGGAAAGGAACAGGAACCCCGATTCCAGCTTCGCTGCTCCCTTGATGCAGTCTGGCTGCCTGCCAGTCCCAGTGGAAATGTACCCACAAGAAGGGCTCTTCTGGGACCCTTGTGGGAGCCCCAGGGTCCTGGTCAGGCGTGGTGACACTGAGGACCAGGGACACCTGGCAGGTCCCCCTCCCCTCCCAGCAGCACCGTCTCCTGCCCTCCCC